AATAGCTTACCATTACCTTACTTTCCTTATCACCATGGGCAGCGATGAGGCATGGGGGCCCTGCTGAGGGGGCTTCAATTTCTCAGAGCTCCCTCCCTACTTGTCACTATGTTTCAGGGCCCTCAGTCTATCCTCATAGGGAAGATTTCTGATACATGGGATCAATTTTCTCATCCTCCTTCGTACGTTTTCCAGTGTATATATATCCATTCTGTAATACGGTGACTAGAACTGTGTAGCATAATCTAAATGAGGCCTAACCAAAGATATATAGAGTTGAAGAACAACCGGATGTCTTTTTATCATTTATGCTTCTTGATATGAAGCCAAAGATTCTGTTAGCTTTATTGCAAACACTTATGCACTGTTGTCTTGGTTTCAGGTTACTGCTGACCTGAACTCCTAAATCTTTTTCGCAATCAGTAATATTAAGATCTATATTATTTAGTCTATATGTGGCATGATTATTTTCCTGTCCAACATTTAAAACTTTGCATTTGTCTATATTAAACTGCATCTGCCACTTCTCCGACCATTGCATCAGTCTATTCAAATTTTCTTGGAGTGCTCTAATGTCCTCATTAGAATGAATTGGACGGCCTATTTTGGTGTCATCAGCAAATTTGCTTATGTCGCTATTTATTCCCTCATCTATGTCGTTTATGTAGATTGTGAACAACAAATGGCCCAACAATGACCCCTATGGAACACCGCTTGTGATGTGCCCCCACCCTGATTTTTCCCCATTTATGCAGATTCTCTGCTGCCTATTTGTCAACCAGGAAAAAAATTTCTCCTCCTATTCCATGTGCCTTAAGTTTCCTCAATAGTCTCTGATGTGGAACTTTATCGAAAGTCTTACTGAAGCCCATATACACAATATTATATTCATTACCATGATCTACCTCTTCAAATACCTTAGTGAAAAAAAGTAAATTCGTAAGTAGTAAATCCGTGTTGAGATTCATTAATCAATTTATGCCTTTCAAGATGGCTACGAATTACCTCGGCAATTATTGATTCCATAAATTTTCCCACAATAGAGGTAAGGCTTATTGATCTAGAGTCCGAAGCTAAGGACCTGTCTTCTGTTTTGTAAGTATGTATTACATTTGCCATTTTTCACTTGTCTGGCACCATGCCAGTTTGTAGTAATATGTTGAAAAGATTAGCCAAAGGTTTACTGAGTCCCTCTTTACAGTCCTTTAAAACCCTTGCTAACAGTTCATCAGGGCCTAGGGATGTGTTAGGTTTTATTTGCTCTATTTGTCTGAGGACCATGTCACTAGTTACCCCAATCATGGATAGTTTATTATCATTCTGTTCTACATAATTTATTATTTTTGGAATTTCGCTAGTATCTTCCTGAGTAAAAATTGAGAGGAAGTAAGAATTGAAAATTTGTCTGAGAACCATATCACTAGTTACCCTAACTGTGTATAGTATATTATTGTCCTGTTCTAAATAATCTATTATTTCTGGAATTTCATTAGTATTTTCCTGAGTAAAAACTGAGAGGAAGTAAGTATTGAAAATTTCACACATATCCTTATCACTGTCAGTGATCTGACCTGAGTTACTCTTAAGTGGGTCAGTCTTGTCCCTAATCTTACTTCTGTATACCTGAAAGAACCCTTTTGGGTTAGTCTTCGAATCCCTTGCGACTTTAGCCTCATAATCCCTTTTTGCTTTTCTTATTCTCAATTGTATTTCTTTCTTTAATTGAATATATTGATTTCTTAATTGCCCATCTTCTCTTTTGATACCCATATATATGCCTCTCTTTTGATCAATGAGATGTTTTAATCTATTGGTTATCCATTTGGGATCATTTTTGTTAGATCTAATTTCCCTACTCTGAACAAAAGTTGTCTGGGCCACTAGAACTATGTTCTGAAAAACGTCATATAGGCAACCATCACAACCTACCTAACCCATACTCAGGTCATTCCAATTCAGCCCACCCAAGTAATTTCTCAGTGCCCTGAAATCAACCAAGTGGAAGTCTGGGACAGAGATTTAATTGCAGTTATTTGGGTAATTCCATGATATATTGAAACTAAGTGATTTGTGATTGCTTTCCCCAAACTCATCATTAACCTCAAGAATATTAATTAGTGATTCTTTGTTAACAAGCACCAAGTTGGTTCTGTAACAAACTGTTTTAAAAAGCAATCTTGAACCATATCAAGAAAGTCACTAGACTCAAGATTTAGTGTCACAGTGTTGTAGTCACTAAGTCTAAAATTAAAATCTCCCATTAACACAACATTTTCATGTCTAGATGCCTTAAGAATTTCGTCCTATAGCAGCTTACTGCACTCCCTGTCAAGGATTGGAGGCCTTTAAGTCACACCCAAAATTAATTTTTCACGACCCTCGAGAAACTGTATCCAAACAGATTCTGTGTCCGACGTTTCTAATCTTATATCGTGTCTAATGCAACAGTTTAAATTATCTCTGAAATACATCGCCACTTCACCACCCTTCCTGTTGACACTATCAGTGTGGAATAGTTTATAGCCCTGTATGCTGCATTCATAAGGCATTTCTCTATCTTTCAGGTTGAATGAGGTCTCTGTTACAGCAAAAATATCTATATTACCTGCACTTGCGAGTAATCTTAGCTCATCTATCTTATTTCTTAGACTCCTATTATCAGTATTGTAAACCTTAAGGGAGCTAGTCACTTGCTGACCTCTACTGTCTCTCTTTGTATATTGATCAATTGTTTGGCTTTACCAGCAAATTTATTTTGAATATTGTCTTTTAAACATATCCCTGAGGTATCCTGGTAATATCTACTGTTTTTAACCCTAATACTGCAGCCTGATTGTTTCCCACAAACACTCATACCTCTGTAATCTATCAGTTTAAAGTCCTAACAAGTCAGCAATGGCCCCCTCAATCGAGTTGGCTAATGCAATCACTCCAGCCCCAGAGTGATGTACCCCACCCCTTGCATACATATCATGTTTGCCATAGAATTTGTCCAGTTATTAATGAATGGGACTGCAAGTTCCTTGCAGTACATGTCTAGCCAGCAGTTTATACCTATTGCCCTAGACATACATTCAATGCCCACTTCCCTTCTAAGTAAAATGCTACATATGATTGGGACCCCTCCCTTACACCTAACTACATCTTTGGCTGACTTGTACTTATCCAGCAACTCCTGTCTCCTGCCCTTCCCGATGTCATTTCCACCAGCACTAAGACAGATAATGGGCTTGTTCCCATTACCTGACATAATATTATCCAACCTGTTGACTATGTCACCAACACCAGCTCCTGGGAAGCACACTCTCTGTCTCACCTTCCTATCTCTGTTACAAAAAGTATGGTCCGTATATCTTATGTGGGAGTCTCCCACAACCAGAATGTTCTTACATTGAACAACAGGGGAGTCAGTGGTATCTTTAACCTCACTAACCACTGAAGTACACTGGAGAACAGAGAAACGATTTCCTAACTTCAACTCTTCTCTATTAGACATCCTTGTCTTGATGCTTCTTCCTGAATTGTGTATCACTTGCCATTTAAAGCAGCTGCCACTCTCCTACTCACTGCTGGTAATCTTTTACTGCTTACCAGATCCGTTCATCTCACACTCACTCTCGAACGCATATAGGTGAAGTTTCAGCCTCCTATTTTCTTCCTGAAGAAGTAGAACCTCCTTCTTCAACACTTTAACCTGTGATTCTAAAACACTACAGCAAGCCATGGTGCTCAGTAACGCTCCATGCTGATCCCCAGACAGCTTAGGGCAGAATGACCTCTCTTGACCACTGACCTCAGCATATTCTTATCACCTAACCATTCTTGTCTTTTCAATTTCAACACTTTTAATGCCTAGTCCCAAGGTTTTCTGTGTATCTAAATGTTCTTGCACTACCGTCCACAGAATAGATATGAGGTGTACAATAGACTAGCTGCATCGGCGAAGAAATCTAAAGTCTAACTTTGTCATTCGTAACTTTTAATGGTCCAAGACGGACTTTTAGAAGTTCTCTAAATGTGAGTTCTTTGTAACTGATAACTGATAGTTTGCTTATAGATCTAAATATTACACATCAGATATGTTGTGCTATTATGACAATGGTATAGAAATTACCTATCAAGGAAAGTGATGCATGGTCTGAATGTAAGTCATTTTAAAAAAAGTTTTCGATGGATTACTATCGCGGGAGATTAAATTTGAAATGCCCAGTTATATGTTGTGTGAATTTAAATGATCTGAATGAAGCTTTGTTATTCTGAGAAATATGTTTAATAATGGTGTGAATGCGCTGAGAGCAGCATTGTATATACACTTGAAAAGGTGTATTTATCTGCATGTATACACTAAGGTTTGGGATATGAAAGTATATGGTAAAGACAAGTAGCGGTCATAGACCTTGTTTCAGTCCTGAGACGCTGGTCACTCCGAGTGATCGAAGTCTCAGGACCAAAACGTGTCCAATAAACATGTCCAACTGATTGCCTTTTGTGTCATTCTCTAACACTTAGTTTACTTTAATCTTAACATTTACGGTTTACAGTATCCCTGAATAGTGTACAGGTGTACATGTAGCCTACGATGTACCAGCAGGTGGAAAAGTGTTTCAACAACTGCAAGTGGCAGTGAAATAAAACACAGTATTGCGAGTTTTGCTGAGTGAGAACGCAAGAAGTATTGGCTTTGTCACCTGCCGTGGACCAGTTACATGCTATGAACCAGTCTCCTGCCATAGCATATTATGGCAGGAGACTGGTCCATAGCAGGTAACTGGTCCATGGATGTGTGACTGCGTAACAGGTTAAAACTCGAAGACGGGAAACACGAGCATAGCTTTGTTCTTTGATGTAAAAGAGGTTAATTACACATTGGCGGCACACAGTCGAGGACATTGATTGCTGAAGAATGTTTCTTGGGGTCACTTCCTTGAGAAGACAACACACGTGTGTTGAGACTGCCTATCATTCCTCTATACATTCCACTGAGCCTGCATGTGGAGCCAGGCACCGCTGATCAATACAGTCAGCTGGTGTGAGGTGCGAAGGCATGACGGCGGGTAGTTACCTGGGAGCCGTGATCCCCACACCTACACCACACTCCCTCCCTCAAACTCCGCCTTCAAAGAACAATCCTCGAGGTTTCCAGCTCGTCCGAGGGCTTCCCTATGGACCTGGGGAGTTGGTCGGTATCTGTGAAGATTTTAGGGAGCACCTCAGGGAATTCTCGCTAATCTTGATAAGGAAGGTTTTAGTGGAGTTGGTGAGGTGTGTCACCCCAGCGGCCAGAGACAGAGGTGAGGCTTAAGTAAATACGAAGCCGCTACAAGACTTGTCTATGTGTGTATCCAGTGTGGCGGTGCACAACACACACACACACACACGTGTCCACGTGACGGTGCACTACACACATGCTGTCACTAACAGGTGAGTCCATCCTAGAATTTTTCCACAGTGAATGTCGTACACGTGCGCGCATAAGCGCTCATGCGGTGACGTACACGTGCGCGCGTGAGCGCTCATGCAGTTACGTATACGTGCGCGCGTAAGCGCTCATGCAGTGACATACACGTACGCGCGTGAGCGCTCATGCGGTGACGTACACGTGTCCTCTGCATAAGTGTCCTCTGCCTCAGTGTCCTCTGCCTCAGTGTCCTCTGCCTCAGTGTCCTCTGCCTCAGTGTCCTCTGCCTCAGTGTCCTCTGTCTCAGTGTCCTCTGCCTCAGTGTCCTCTGTCTCAGTGTCCTCTGCCTCAGTGTCCTCTGCCTCAGTGTCCTCTGCCTCAGTGTCCTCTGCCTCAGTGTCCTCTGCCTCAGTGTCCTCTGCCTCAGTGTCCTCTGCCACAGTGTCAACTGCCTTGTTGCCCTCTGCCGCAGTGTCCTCTGCCTCAGTGTCCTCCGCCTCAGTGTCCTCTGCCTCAGTGCCCTCTGCCTCAGTGCCCTCTGCCTCAGTGCCCTCTGCCTCAGTGTCATCTGCCACAGTGCCCTCTGCCTCAGTGCCCTCTGCCTCAGTGTCCTCTGCCTCAGTGCCCTCTGCCTCAGTGCCCTCTGCTTCAGTGTCCTCTGCCTCAGTGCCCTCTGCCTCAGTGTCCTCTGCCTCAGTGCCCTCTGCCTCAGTGCCCTTTGCCTCAGTGCCCTCTGCCTCAGTGCCCTCTGCCTCAGTGCCCTCTGCCTCAGTGCCCTCTGCCTCAGTGCCCTCTGCCTCAGTGTCCTCTGCCTCAGTGCCCTCTGCCTCAGTGCCCTCTGCCTCAGTGCCCTCTGCCTCAGTGCCCTCTGCCTCAGTCCCCTCTGCCTCAGTGCCCTCTGCCTCAGTGTCCTCTTCCTCAGTGCCCTCTGCCTCAGTGTCCTCTGCCTCAGTGTCCTCTGCCTCAGTGTCCTCTGCCTCAATGTCCTCTGCTCAGTGCCCTCTGCCTCAGTGTCCTCTGCCTCAGTGCCCTCTGCCTCAGTGTCCTCTGCCTCAGTGCCCTCTGCCGCAGTGTCCTCTGCCTCAGTGTCCTCTGCCTCAGTGTCCTCTGCCTCAATGTCCTCTGCCTCAGTGTCCTCTGCCTCAGTGTCCTCTGCCTCAGTGTCCTCTGCCTCAGTGCCCTCTGCCTCAGTGTCCTCTGCCTCAGTATTCTCTGCCTCAGTGTCCTCTGCCTCAGTGCCCTCTGCCTCAGTGTCTTCTGCCTCAGTGCCCTCTGCCTCAGTGTCCTCTGCCTCAGTGTCCTCTGCCTCAGTGTCCTCTGCCTCAGTGCCCTCTGCCTCAGTGTCCTCTGCCTCAGTGTCCTCTGCCTCAGTGCCCTCTGCCTCACTGTCCTCTGCCTCAGTGCCCTCTGCCTCAGTGTCCTCTGCCTCAGTGTCCTCTGCCTCATTGTCCTCTGCCTCAGTGTCCTCTGCCTCAGTGTCCTCTCCCTCAGTGTCCTCTGCCTCAGTGTCCTCTGCCTCAGTGCCCTCTGCCTCAGTGTCCTCTGCCTCAGTGCCCTCTGCCTCGGTGTCCTCTGCCTCAGTGCCCTCTGCCTCAGTGTCCTCTGCCTCGGTGTCCTCTGCCTCAGTGTCCTCTGCCTCAGTGTCCTCTGCCTCAGTGTCCTCTGCCTCAGTGCCCTTTGCCTCAGTGTCCTCTGCCTCAGTATTCTCTACCTCAGTGTCCTCTGCCTCAGTGCCCTCTGCCTCAGTGTCTTCTGCCTCAGTGCCCTCTGCCTCAGTGTCCTCTGCCTCAGTGTCCTCTGCCTCAGTGTCCTCTGCCTCAGTGTCCTCTGCCTCAGTGTCCTCTGCCTCAGTGTCCTCTGCCTCACTGCCCTCTGCCTCAGTGTCTTCTGCCTCAGTGTCCTCTGCCTCAGTGTCCTCTGCCTCAGTGTCCTCTGCCTCAGTGTCCTCTGCCTCAGTGTCCTATGCCTCAGTGTCCTCTGCCTCAGTGTCCTCTGCCTCAGTGTCCTCTGCCTCAGTGTCCTCTGCCTCAGTGTCCTCTGCCTCAGTGTCCTCTGCCTCAGTGTCCTCTGCCTCAGTGTCCTCTGCCTCAGTGTCCTATGCCTCAGTGTCCTCTGCCTCAGTGTCCTCTGCCTCAGTGCCCTCTGCCACAGTGCCCTCTGCCTCAGTGTCCTCTGCCACAGTGTCCTCTGCCTCAGTGTCCTCTGCCTCAGTGTCCTCTGCCTCAGTGTCCTCTGCCTCAGTGTCCTCTACCTCAGTGTCCTCTGCCTCAGTGCCCTTTGCCTCAGTGTCCTCTGCCTCAGTGTCCTCTGCCTCAGTGCCCTCTGCCTCAGTGCCCTCTGCCTCAGTGTCCTCTGCCTCAGAGTCCTCTGCCTCAGTGTCCTCTGCCTCAGTGTCCTCTGCCTCAGTGCCCTCTGCCTCAGTGTCCTCTGCCTCAGTGTCCTCTGCCTCAGTGTCCTCTACCTCAGTGTCGTCTGCCTCAGTGTCCTCTGCCTCAGTGTCCTATGCCTCAGTGTCCTCTGCCTCAGTGCCCTCTGCCTCAGTGTCCTCTGCCTCAGTGCCCTCTGCCTCAGTGTCCTCTGCCTCAGTGTCCTCTGCCTCAGTGCCCTCTGCCTCAGTGCCCTCTGCCTCAGTGTCCTCTGCCTCAGTGTCCTCTGCCTCAGTGTCCTCTGCCTCAGTGTCCTCTGCCTCAGTGTCGTCTGCCTCAGTGTCCTCTGCCTCAGTGTCCTCTGCCTCAGTGTCCTCTGCCTCAGTGTCCTCTGCCTCAGTGCCCTCTGCCGCAGTGTCCTCTGCCTCAGTGTCCTCTGCCTCAGTGCCCTCTGCCTCAGTGTCCTCTGCCTCAGTGCCCTCTGCCTCAGTGTCCTCTGCCTCAGTGTCCTCTGCCTCAGTGTCCTCTGCCTCAGTGCCCTCTGCCTCAGTGTCCTCTGCCTCAGTGTCCTCTGCCTCAGTGTCCTCTGCCTCAGTGCCCTCTGTCTCAGTGTCCTCTGCCTCAGTGCTCTCTGCCTCAGTGTCCTCTGCCTCAGTGTCCTCTGCCTCAGTGCCCTCTGCCTCAGTGTCCTCTGCGTCAGTGTCCTCTGCTCAGTGTCCTCTGCCTCAGTGCCCTCTGCCTCAGTGTCCTCTGCCTCAGTGTCCTCTGCCTCAGTGTCCTCTGCCTCAGTGTCCTCTGCCTCAGTGTCCTCTGCCTCAGTGTCCTCTGCCTCAGTGCCCTCTGCCTCAGTGTCCTCTGCCTCAGTGTCCTCTGCCTCAGTGTCCTCTACCTCAGTGTCCTCTGCCTCAGTGTCCTCTGCCTCAGTGTCCTCTGCCTCAGTGCCCTCTGTCTCAGTGTCCTCTGCCTCAATGTCCTCTGCCTCAGTGTCCTCTGCCTCAGTGTCCTCTGTCTCAGTGTCCTCTGCCTCAGTGTCCTCTGTCTCAGTGTCCTCTGCCTCAGTGTCCTCTGTCTCAGTGTCCTCTGCCTCAGTGTCCTCTGCCTCAGTGTTCTCTGCCTCAGTGTCCTCTGCCTCAGTGTCCTCTGTCTCAGTGTCCTCTGCCTCAGTGCCCTCTGTCTCAGTGTCCTCTGCCTCAGTGTCCTCTGCCTCAGTGTCCTCTGCCTCAGTGTCCTCTGTCTCAGTGTCCTCTGCCTCAGTGTCCTCTGTCTCAGTGTCCTCTGCCTCAGTGTCCTCTGCCTCAGTGTCCTCTGCCTCAGTGTCCTCTGCCTCAGTGTCCTCTGTCTCAGTGTCCTCTGCCTCAGTGTCCTCTGCCTCAGTGTCCTCTGCCTCAGTGTCCTCTGCCTCAGTGTCCTCTGCCTCAGTGCTCACGATGGCAGTAGCTGCACAAGTTTGTGATGAAGTAAATATTAGAGTTGAAGGTTCGAAGGGAATTAGAAGAAATATTCACAAGTTATCACATGGAAAGGAATATCTCAGTTTCTTCAACAAAACTGGCAGGTTATGACATGTACAACCCAAAATTAATTCCAACTTCCCATCATAAAACACCAGCTTTGAAACTAACGTGACGAGGCATGCTCTTGTTATTTCAGATTATTTTTTTAATAGTCATGTTGAGAGCGAGACAGACGCTCATCCTATTTCCTGTTTCAGAGGAACCAGTATCCTAAAATACACCAACACGTTAAGTTTGAAGCCTCTCAGGTATATTATCAAGTTGTCAGCACTGAAGTGTTAAAGCCAATCGACTGAGGCACTCAGAAATTATTACATGACAAGCAATAGTTAAATTTTACCTTTTTTTTTCAATAAAAGATGCAAACTAAGACCTACAGAGGCCAAAATTAATTTAAACTGTATTCTACATAAGAGTGACTAGTGATTAAGGAAAAAGAGAATGTTGTATAACTAATCTTGAGGCTTCATTCTTGGCTTGAAAGACGAAGTGTTGATGGTGATCTAGTAAAGTTCTTTGGAAGAAAAATAATAGTACTGATTTTGAGAGGCAATGGCCCCATAGTGCGGGGAAATGTGGCAGTTGTCGTACTTGACAGTTCGTATATTGAGTCGTTCCGATATCAGTTCCAATTATTAATATTATAATCTGTAGTAAAGAAAATGTGGAGAGCTGTGCAAGGGTTTGGATAGGTTCTCCTGAGCATATATACAAGACCAATGAGGATATTTCTTCCAGTGACACGATCTCTGATGCTCGGAATATTAAGTTCTTTCCTCGTGTGCAGAATGATGATGTATCATGGACATCTTAGAATGATTTACGTCGCTTCGTTGCGCAATTTTTCAGGTCCTCCAAGTTTGGTGCTTAACGCAAGAGCAGCATGGGTACAGCATGATGAACCTGTCATCTAACATAAGAGCAGCATGGATACAGCATGTTGAACCTGTCATGGGTTCAGCATGGGTTCACCATACCTGGAGTATACCTGGAGAGAGAGTTCCGGGGGTCAACGCCCCCGCAGCCCGGTCTATGACCAGGTCTCATGGGGGATCAGGGCCTGATCAACCAGGCTATTACTGCTGGCCGCACGTAATCCAACGTACGAACCACAGCCTGGCTGGTCAGGTACTGACTTTAGGT